GTGTAACATGTAGTGATTTCACTCAGACAGTACATTTATTAAATAATAATAAGATATTCGTTAAGACAAGCACTAATTTTGAGACAATCACGGGTACATGCGTTATAGAAGCATATTGAAACGTTATTAAAACATACTTTATAGGTACAATTCCGCACTATAAAATTTTAATGATTGACAAAATATGTGAAAAAATGTGACGGTCATGAAATATTGTACAATGTAATAATCTATATATGCCATATCTGTCCCTCTGATAGTTTTTTGTTATTAACTGCCATATTTTTTGTCAATGCAGCCTTATTGGATAAATTAATCACAATTTTCCTTAAAACATGGGCGCCTACATTAAGCCGCCCCCCGTCTACCGACCCCCCTGGCTTTCAAAAAGTTTAATCAAACCCTGAATTATGTTCCTAATATAGAGTCCTTTTTAATTTGAAAATTATGTTTTGAAAATTATGTTTTGAAAATTATCCGTTATATTTTTTCAGATTTTTTTCAGACAATCTTGGAAAAAATATTTGTAGACTTTTCGAAAAATACACCCAAATTTGAAAACATATGATGAAAATGTGAGCATTTTTCAATTAAAGCAACTATTTACTTTAAATTACCCCCCCCCCCCCCCCCCCGAAACAATGTTGGTTCAGGTAAAGTGGATTTGCAAAACATGTCACCTAAATGCCAACATTGTATAAGGGGGGAGGGGGACAAAGTTAGAAAATTTAAGAAGTCTACTGATTTTTTTCCAGGATTGTCTCTGAATTAAGCCAACCCTTAACCTTTAAGGGATAGAAATTAAATTTTTTGGACATGTAAAATTTGCTATTCTATTATGTTATTATGAATGTCAAGTGGCACATATGTCAGCAGAAACAGACTCCCAAAACAATTTTCCGGGGGGGGGGGAACTTCCCATGGTACGATTACAGGAAATAGCCGTATATTACCGCCCACAGCTCGAGTTATCCTTGCAATTTCGTTGAATTTGGACACGATTATAAATGTTTTTATACTTTTGAATGTATAGTAAATTTAATATTAGCTTCAACTTAGAATCCTCTAGGTTTAACACCCTTTTAAAAATGTTTTACTTAGTATTTGCTCCGGAAAATAAGCGAATTTAATTTCATAAAATACACATAACTGCTTGATTTCTTGAGTTCTTTTGGATTAAATAAACTAAGAGATATTTCTGCTCGTTTATCGGTTGGTTGTGTCTTAAATTATGTTAGGATTAATTTATTTTTAAGGTTTTCAGTTCTCTATGCACCTTTTCAACGATTATAGATTAGAACAAATCTCAATCTTCACATGTTACATCATGTTACATCATGTTACACTACATGTTACACTAAAATTACTATACTTTACTATAGATTTTGACATGTTACTACATGTTACACCTATATTTTTAAAAGGAACTATAGATATTTTTAAAGGTAGGTGTAACATGTTGTAACATGTGAGAATATATAATAAAACATAGAACTTTTAGTGTAACATGTACTGTAACATGTGGTGTAACATGGTGTAACATGTAGTGATTTTACTCAGACAGTACATTTATTAAATAATAATAAGATATTCGTTAAGACAAGCACTAATTTTGAGACAATCACGGGTACATGCGTTATAGAAGCATATTGAAACCTTATTAAAACATACTTTATAGGTACAATTCCGCACTATAAAATTTTAATGATCGACAAAATATGTGAAAAAATGTGACGGTCATGAAATATTGTACAATGTAATAATCTATATATGCCATATCTGTCCCTCTGATAGTTTTTTTGTTATTAACTGCCATATTTTTTGTCAATGCAGCCTTATTGGATAAATTAATCACAATTTTCCTTAAAACATGGGCACCTACATTAAGCCGCCCCCCGTCTACCGACCCCCCTGGCTTTCAAAAAGTTTAATCAAACCCTGAATTATGTTCCTAATATAGAGTCCTTTTTAATATGAAAATTATGTTTTGAAAACGACTGAACAATTAACTTGGTAAAATGATTATCCGTTGTATTTTTTCAGACAATCTTGGAAAAAATATTTGTAGACTTTTCGAAAAATACACCCAAATTTGAAAACATATGATGAAAATGTGAGCATTTTTCAATTAAAGCAACTATTTACTTTAAATTACCCCCCCCCCCCCCCCCGAAACAATGTTGGTTCAGGTAAAGTGGATTTGCAACACATGTCACCTAAATACCAACATTGTATAAGGGGGGAGGGGGACAAAGTTTGAAAATTTAAGAAGTCTACTAATTTTTTTCCAGGATTGTAGCACTCAGATGGAACTAATGAGAAATCTTTTGAATTTGAACAATAGAACTTTCGGTTCGATCGAAAAATTTCGCCTAGAAGAAAACCGCCTTTAGTTTTGGCACCCGTGTGCCTACTCCATGCAGATGAATAAAACAGAGGCGTAGCCAGGACTGGGGTCGGGGGGCCCGCCCCCCCCCCCACCCCCTGGCAAAATTTTGGGGGGCCCCTGATAAAATGTATAATATGTATTGTGTAAAAAAGGGAATCCTTGATTATATAGCCTCATGCTGTCAATAATGCAAAAATTCTGTAGAATATATGCTTTGCTGGGCATCGGTGTGAAACCTAAAATCTTGTTCACTTATTTGCGGCACACAGCTTGAAACACACACCTTTTCTAACCCTAATTTTTTCAATATGTATTAAATGAGGATTATATCTGATGAAGTTTAAAACAGTCTGTTTTTTTACAAGTGAATTTTTAACGCGGGCTCGGCAGTGGCGCCGTAGTCAGGGGGGAGACCCGTCGGAATTTTTTTTTTACCGAAAAAGTCGGTCGACGAGGGGGGGGGAGGGGGGAGATTTAAAATATTGTGTGCAGGGTTTATTTTAAGAAAAATTTAGAACTGCAAATATAGGGATGTTACGAAGGCAACGGGTGTTTGACTGGGACGTCGAAGGATTTTTACCTGCATATAGGTGACACAATAATGGTGTGGTTGTGTGGGAGAATTGGAGAAAGGCCAGACAAACTCGATTTTGGATGCGGGAGCTATAGGGGGTGTTCCCTTAAATAATTTGAATCTAGAGGCTCTTAAGTTCTGGCAAAGATTTGTTTTACCCAACCACTCACAAAAGATGTTTCAAAATATGTAAATGAGAATCATGGATACTCAATATATAACAACCTTAAATTTGCATTTGAGGTAGCAAAGAATATTAGGTTCTCCCACTCTAATCTCTTTTGAGGAGCTTCGCTCGCCCCAATTTTAGCTTCTTTTCCTTTACCCCAGCACGTAAGTAATTTGTGAGGAAAATAGGAGGGTCTGGAGTCCTAGCCCAGAAAACGTTTATATTTTTGATGCTCATTTAATGACAGCATTTCTAAAATATTCTGGAGCATCCACAAGGGTAACGAGTAAATGAGAAGGCTGTTTTAATTAAGGCTATTTTTGTTAGTTTGGTGACTGTACATTTGTGTTTTAAGAACTGCACAAATGGGTTTAGAACTGCACATTTTGTGTAGAACTGCACGTTAAAATAAACCCTGGTTGTGTGGTCCGGAAATTTTTTCTTGCGCGAACTTTGCGTCTCGAGTTACTGGCGGCTTGGCCCCACCTGGGTTTTTGCTGGCCCCCTCTGACCAAAAATCCTGGCTACGCTTCTGGAATAAAAAGCTTACTGTCCCACCCCACCTTGATTTGTTTATTACACTGGAGTACAATTAGTACAATATACGAGCCATTTATCAGGCAGAGCTAGAGGCTCTTCAACCAGCCAGAATTCAGTAATGTCATGTATATAATCAAGTCAAGTATATCCAATATACTCGATTAGATATACCAATACACCTAAACCTCCCAGCTTTATCTGTCGGTCTAAATTATTTATCTTCTCAGTTCAATGTTTATCTTGGACAAATGTGGGATACTTCGTACCAGAATTTGGACCTACTTTAAATTATCAATGAAGTAAAATGGACTTTCTACCAATATAACCGAAACCTCTAGCTCTGCCTGATTAATTTTAAGTCGAGTGCTGCTGCATGAAGCTGAAGTGTGGGCACTGAGGAAAGAAGTTATTAGAGAGGACTGATATGAGAATGTCTCACTCCGACACAACAACTGGAATAAAGAATTGCTAAAAACACAGAAGAAAAGCAAGAATGGAATGGCAACATGATTAGAATAAGCGATATAAAAATAATTAGGTCAAGTAAAGGGGAAAGATCCAGAAGAAGACCGACTGGATATGTTATGACTGGATATAATGAGGATGCATGGTTATGATGATTCAAACTTCCCTGAAGAGATTGGAGTTACGGAGAGAAAAGGCAAAAGAAGTAAAAATACTAATACATAAATGAAAACTATATGCTTTTGCAGTTTAATATATATTGTGCCCAAAATCATTAAATTTGTAAATCAAAAAATTTGTCATAATAAGCCTGAAGTTACATAGCTTATATATTTTACCCTACTAAATACTGATAACAGTATTAGAATAATATAAAAAAATTACGTATTAATTGTTAGAATACGAACTAGTCTAATAATTCCATAAATGATTAAATTGACTGGTGCAGTGCAACTCTGCAATGCAGTAAAACTATTGATATATTTTCCTTTCTATATAACCAGTGGAAGTCCCTAGAAAATAAACAAGACAAGTGACTTTTATAAAAATTGGGGGGGGGGGGAAATATTATAAAATTATGCGGATACGTTTTCTCCCTGTATATGCATGCGCCAGTATTGTAAACGCCTTAAAAAGCTGTTCAATGAAAATAAATTAATGTTTAAAGTTGGATAAAAATTTTCATGTGTGTAAAGGCGTGTATTTTGCCCGCGGAGCGGAATTTTTCTTTGTCTTGTGATTTCCCGGGTGGAACTGAACTGACAAAGAGAAATTCCGCTCCGCGCGGAAAATTACGCCCAGTCCCCAGTGGAAAACGGCCTTAATATGGCTGAATATATAAAAATAGGTACGCAGGGCCTACATGTGACTATCGCTGTTTAGACAGCTACGGTTTGGTCATTTTATACTCAAACACGTTTCACCACTAGCAAGTATCTGCCAAGCTATTTGGTATGGAAATATTCCTAAACCTACTAAGTGCTGGTGTTCAGTAAACATATTGTTTCCCTTTATGTTGTGGAGTTTCGACTGAGAATGTATAACTTTAAGACAAAGAAACATTTTATATTCAGCTTCATGATTGTGAGGAAAACATATAAACATTCGAGAACACCAGCTAATTTTAAATAGCTAACTATAGGGGAAAATCAAGATGAAATTATATTACTAATTACACTCACTGTTGCGAATATTGTTCAACATCCATAAAATTCAACACGAAGAGAAATGTGTCCATTCCATGACTTTGGTTCAAGTCTGATATATCGAGCGACGATGGGAGGTGAAATAACATTGTGAACTACAGAATGTTTATCTGTATTACCATTGAATACCTAAAGTAACATTAAACCGTCTGTATCATTAGTATTGCATCCTACATGCGCTCTCAAAATAATGTCTATTAAATATCACTGATGATAAGAATACTCAATATTTTATTCAAAACGCAATATTAAAAGTTGTCACTTAATAGTTACTTCAAAGATATCACATGAATACTGAATAACTAATCATTTCGAAACCGCTGTCTTTAGAATGCCTAGAAATGCTAAGGGTTATCTCTTAATGTGTTTATCGGACACTCCCACTTCCTCCTATATAGTATAACCTATGGCGTTGGTAAATTCAAACTGGAAAGATCCTTTTACACAGGAATAAGTCGAATTGATAATAGGAATGCATAAATAGAACCCTGATCGCAGATCCACTGTGCTACCAACACCACTCTGCTATGATATTTAATAATGTACCTACCTTGACTTGGCCAACATTTTTGTAAGGGAAAAATGATACCCCGTTGATGCTGTAATACAACATGTAGGTTGTGACCCACTGTGAACCAGCATCTTCTCTTCCCTGAGTACTGATACCAACCACAACAGTTTGTCCTTTGAAATCAATCTGTAACCATTGGTTAAGATTATTTGGTCTTGTAGACCAAGCTCCTGATCTTCCATTTCGTGCTGTAAAGAACAATCTAGCGTTCTTCGGGCCATGGTTGGAATCCCATTGCGACGAAGCTGTGATTTGTGAGACCTGGATGTTACCACTACGCATTCCCAGGTCCTTTGTATCATGATCACAATCTATTCAAATATATATATATATATATATATATATATATATATATATATATATATATATATATATATATAATATATATATATATATAATATATATATATATATATATATATATATATATATATAATATATATATATATATATATATTATATATATATATATATATATATATATATATATATATATATATATATATATATATACATTTTATTAGAATGGATGGTAGAAAATTAGCGTAGAAAATTGGTGAAGAGGAAGACAAGAGAGGAGTGATGGATTAAGAAGATTATCGAAGAGATCTGACATTTTGACTTAAGGAAAATGATGCAAAATCTCGAGTTACATGCAGGCCCAACCCATAAGTTCAGGAAAAGAAAAAAGAAGAACACACTTGAAGAGTATGCATGTGCTGTATATACTAAAGCACAAATAATCATGAGGAGGTATATATTACCTTTATAGCATCCAAAAAGGTCCATTCTCAAAGATATGTGTCCGTTCCAAGTCTTTGGTTGGATGCGAATGTATCGAGCAAGGATTGGTGAAGAGAAATCGTGATGTACCATTAAAAGTTGGTTTGTATTACCACTGAAAACCTAGAAATGCGCATGCAAACATGCATAATTAGCTGTTTAATTTACAGATAGGTGCGATGTCTTCTCAGCCCCCCATTATGTGGTATACCATCTCTGTTGTTGACAGCCTGGCACAGATTATATGTAATACCATTCGCAGTGAAGTCAACAAAGTAATTGAAGAACGACAAATTTATGTAATCTTCGGCATTGACATACGGGGATGAACCAATTAATGTAAAGGCAAACAAGATAATATATAATCTATATATTACGTAGTTAAGACAAATACACTCCAATACAATTTTAAGAGCACCAGCCTCTAGCCAGTCAAGAGAGTCGAGTATAGCAAAACGTCAGGCGGTATTACATTTTAATTAGAAAAATGCATGTTAATTTTAATTGCTTCCTTTTCTTACCTTAACTTGATTTTGCTCTTTGTATGCTTGAAATACCACGCCATCCATGCTGTATGAAATAATGTACGTTTTGACAAACTGATTACAACAGGAGTCGGCACGACCTTGTGTGCATATACCAGTGATTACGACTAGCTGTTCAAGATCAACTTCTAACCATTGGTTCACATTATTATATTTGGCTGACCACGCCCCTGTTCTGCCATTGTGCGCTATAAAGTTCAGACGTCCATTTTGTGCACGATGGTTTGAATCATAGTTAGATGATGCTCTAACTTGACGGTCGCGAATTCTTCCATTTTCTAAGCCTAGTTTGCCAGGCTTCGTGCAATCTGCAAGCGATGTAGATTATAGTAGACATTTATAAAATGTTTTCAGTTAACTACAGTAAAAATATGGAGTAAATCTATACCAATTGAAAATACATTAAATTTCCACAATTATATATATAATATTTAATTTGTATTTGCAATCTTTATCATCACGTTAATCAACCATCTATAATTTGGGGGTACTCGAATAATCAGTATCTCCAATGATTTATATTTCGGCGATAACGGCCCCAATGATTTATAATTGATTATCATGAGAGATCGGAAATATCGATCGTTTTCATACTACAAAAAAATTCTTCACTTATCCAGCACATTAAAAATTTACTACCAATATACTCGATAATACTGGCTCAATATACCAGTATACCTAAAATTCTAGTGATTCTGGACTGGGGGTTATTAGAAGTGGAGAGGGCAAAATAGAGGCTGGGGACGTAATAAATTTCCATGTTCTTTAAAAAAATGTTAACTTGCAAAATCATCATTAGGCAAACATCTGGAGAAATTTTCATATAATGTATCTTTATTTAGCTATATCAGTGAATGTTATAAGTATGCATGCATTCAAATTTCTTTACAAGTTTATATAATAGAGGGTTCGGGCTTATTTCTTTTCAGGGTTTCTTTATAGACTGGGGCCAATTAGAAGGATGACTAAATAGAGGAAATACACTATATCTCCACTGTTCCTCCTAATTCTTATATACTGGTTATTTCAAGGATATAAGACCTGCATCAAGGATATAACTTGTGACCTTTACTACTCTCTTCATTCTTATCTGTTCAAGAAGTCTGCTTGTGATATAATTATTGGACCTTTTCACTTAGATGTTGAATGTCTGGTAATATTTATAAAATAAAAGCTAAGGTATATATTTACCGATGTAACATCCATTGAATTCCACCCTCATAGAAATGTGACCATGCCAGGTTTTAGGATGAACTCGGATATATTTGGCAATAATTGCTGTGGGTAGACTGTGATCAACAACTGTATCTGTATCGGAATTGCCAGTAAATACCTGTTAATGTTATGATAAGAATCAATATCAATACTGTCGTTATGGTAATATGTCGTTATGGTCATGCCCCCCCCCCCCTATTGTTGAGAGCCATCGGAAAATTGTGACATGGGACCCACGGTGCCACTGATGCTAGCAATGAAGTGTATTCAGCTTGTTGTCTATATTTTATGTCGGACGCAAAATGGAATATAGGCCTATGCACGATTGATAGCAACTAGCATTTATATACACAATTAGATTCACAATTAGAATAACATTTTGGCTTGATGGTAAAACTGAATAATGTTGGATGCAGAACCGTGGAAGTGGAAACAATTCGTACGACAAACGGTAAATTAAATTTTAGAGGCAAATTATCGAGATGCACGGTGTTGTCTCGCCTCTATCTTTCTTGACCTCGACACACTGGAGAGTGGAGGTGTTGTGTTAAAAAGGCAGCATTTACTACATTTTATAGGTAACCTAGTTTAAACTCACCCTCGGCTAATATCGTTTTTGCTTTCAAACACAATTCGTAACTTTGTGCAACATTTTCGCTTTGCATTGTGGTTATCTTTCAATTGGAACCAACATGTGTATACCTGTGTAACTGTGTTATTTTAATCTGCTGCCTTTTCCGCTGAATGTTCGCTCGCTGCGGCAGCAATTATTGAATGAAGGTTTGTGTTGTAAACGAAACCAAAGGCTGACGTTGATAACACTAACTGAGGCCTTGATATTTTTTCATATCATGCACTCACATTGAGTATATTATAATAATCCTTTAAATTAAAGCAAAGTTGCGTGCAGTTACGCACACTCACATTTAATTTATAAATCGGCTATATAACTATATATTTACCTTGAGAAGACCATTTGATGTATAGGATTGGAATGTTGATCCATCTTGGCTGTAAGACAGTGTGTAGCTTTTAACAAACTGAGTAAGTCCTGCTCTGCCCTGGGTACTGACTCCAACTATGGCAGTTAGTCGCTTAAAATGAATCTGTAACCATTGATTGACATCATTTGTTTTGGACGACCAAGCTCCTGTTCTACCATTATGGGGTGCATAGAACAGTCTGCTATTGCTTGGGCTGTGGTTGCTATCCCACTGAGATGACGCCGAGATTTGCGAGTCACTGATCAGACCATTTCGCATTCCAAGTTCCTTTGGTTTACTGCACACTATGAAAGAAACATGATATAGTAGGGTTATTTCCATATTAGCAACAGCAACATCTTTACATCTTAACCATAATCGTCACTCTATTCCTAATCCTCAACTCTTATCCTACATAACCCTAACCTTAACCTAATCCGGACACTGATCCCAATCAACCCTTATCCCAGCTCAAATCTTAAATCTTATCTTAACCCTGTTCAAACCCTATTGTATAACCTACCCTGATACTATACTTTAATCTTAATTTAATCCCAATCTAACTCGCGTCCTAAATCCTCACCCGGGGCTTCGGTGGCGCAATGGTTAGAGCAAGTGCTTTTTTCACCTCTGAGATCGTATGCTACTTATGTGAGAAGAGTCAACGCTCGAACGATATATAGTCGTGGGTTTTCTCTGGGTACTCTGGTTTCCTCCCACGGGATATGTTGAGATTAGCCCTAAACGATCCGTTAGGAATTAGTCCTAACTGACCCTTCCACTGTAGCTGTTGTGTTAGATATTTCTGAATTTTCTGGCCAAGCATGTTCACGGAACACCAGCCCCTGCTCAAAATCGGATTCGTCTGGCCTGTTCCCCACCCAACCAAACCATAATTCAGGTAAAGAAAATCAATTTTTAACCGGTTAAAAATCTAATTCAGGTAAATATAAGTAAATCAAATAAACAAAACACGACACTTGCCTTGGTTTTTATCCGTAATAATATTTGAGCTTGAACTCGTGCATTCGACCCTAAAGAAAAAAGTCAACTCAAGTGATAAAAGTATTTAGAATAGATGATATTCAATTCAAAAGATGATTTTGCTCGGTTTTATTCTTGTAAATTCTGATTGGTTCTATAAGACATGGAAGACTTTTGTTCGAGGCATATCGGAAATATGTACTGACTGGTTGTATAAAAAGTAGTTGAAGTTAACTATAGTTGGTGGAAAACAATCAGAATCACTTATTTTGAGAGTTAAACGAAACGTTAGTTAAATAAAAATATTTCCTAGGAAATATTTTTTTTTGTCACACGATAAAATAAGACAGGATAATATTGTTATCTTAATCCTTGGCGCGCCAGGGGGAAGCAGGAAATTTCGAGTACTTTTAACTACAGAACAATGTCAAGATCAATGCCAAGATCAATGTCGATCTATGTCATTTTTCCTGCGTGGCAGGCCTTCAGTTTTATGGGGGGCCTGATTTGCAACGGGCAGGATTCTGGCGGGCGTGGGGGGAGGATTGAGGGAATCCTGCCCGTTGCAAATCAGGCCCCCCATAAAACTGAGGGCCTGCCACGCAGGCTATGTCATTTAAGATTGACCGAACACAGAGAATTTCATTATTCCACACTCCTCGTGCGTGAGAGAACCAACTTACCTGTGTGGATGGTTAGGTGCAGACGTGGTCAGCTAATGATATATAGGGATTTGAGTTACTTGGATTCAGGTCTGAAACATGTGAACCTGCCCATTCAGGACCTGACCACCGAACGTTGGGAGTAACCTGTTGTACCTACCAATTTTACCAGTTTCAGTGGTTTAATAAAGTCATGATTTAAATGGTAAATGGTCTGCACCTTATCACACCGAACTAAGTCAATAGTTGTCACAAAGAAGAAAAAAAAATTGGCTTCTTCTCTATTAAAGCAGCGTAGCTAATGATCTGTGAGTCTGCTTGGCACTCTCTTTATCCGATACCTTGAGGGCACATGTTTGCGAATAATTCATAGCCGCTTTATTATAAGTTTAACATAATATTATTTTTTATCATCAAATAATACTAAATTGAGAACATATTATTATTAGCAGATTATTTTGGGTAGTTCCTCGGGTAGAGGAGAAGTGATCACGTGATCGGCTAGTTGTGTTGTTTGTGGCGTCAGATATAACCAAATCCCTATCTCTAAGCCTAATCCTTACCCTAACCCTCACCCTAACCCTAACCCTTACCCTAACCCTTACCCTAACCTCAAAACTAATCGCTATAACTAACTGATGACGTAGTCTGTGATGCAAATTCTTCTACCCGAGGATGTACCCATTATTTTAGTGTTCATTACCAGTAAAGGTAGCAGAATATTAGAGAGGGTTATTAGAGGAAATTGATTAGAGGGGAATATTGAATATATTCCCCGATAAGAACAAAGGAAACCGAGCAGGGTGAAAAATAAGGTGTCGAAATGTGAAATCAATGTGTAGGTTTTAGTTGATAGTATAGCCTGCATACAGGCGGTATTAGCGGGCACGCAATGGCAGGGAAGCTTGAAATACTGTCCGCCCACTACATGGTGGACGGAAAATTCTGATTTGTCAATTATTTCGCTTGATTGACGGCAAAGGATCTGTGTTATTAATGCTATGATAATTTATTAAACAAGGAATGGCTTCGTCCGAACTTCGGGAGAATTGAGAAAGCGCTAAATTATTTAATAAGCGGGAAAAGTCGGGCAAATTTCTTTCCCCCCCCCCCCCTAATTTTTCCTTCCCGTACGCCTATATGTATGTCATGTGTACGCATTTAGCCTCCTCAGCAGGTCTCTCTATTGGTTATTGAACTACATACAGACGATTGTTTTGTCATCGTATAGAAGAGAAAGCATTTGAACCAATTTTTGGGATAAAATGAAAAGTACTATATAGTGCGATTCGCCGCAGTGTCGTGGCTATTGTTGTGGATTGTGTCGGAGAATGATTTAAGAGCCGGAATATCTTTAAAATACCAAGAAGCCAAGAATGGCCCATTTGTTTAGACGCTTTAAAATTGTCATTGTAGTGATTTGGTATTAGGTCGCGGTCACCTGAGCTCTTGAATCGTGAACAGGTTTTTGGGCCAACTGTTTGTACAGTAAGTTAATTCAGCCAATAATCTTTATTCATCAAAATACCAATACAGGCACATATGAAATTACATATATACAATAAAAGATACAAAGCGTATCTATATATAATAGCTATAAAATATAAGATTATAAAAAGTGCATTAACATTTTTTATATTATGAATGAAAATATGCATGATTACGTAATGCACTGATTATCATATAATAGAAGAATATCATGAAAATATTTTGCTACTATTTTCATGATAGATTTATCATGTATATTTAAAATATATAAGAATAAATTATTTGTACCAAATAGGCGGAAAGAACTATTGATACCATATAACTTTTTTGGTTGGAGCATGATAAGGCCAAATAAAAATAATAGTTGGTTTCAGGTTTCCGACCGACCTGTCAAAAATATGACCGACCATAAACATTTTATTGACATTTCCCAGTAGAGATC